ATATATTTTGAATGAACAAAACAAAAATAAGTCCCAGCTGGTTTGTGGAGCCACCTGGATGAAGGGAAGTCAGACTTCCCCTCCGCCACAGTGGACAAAGGGAGCAGATCCCACTGGGAAAAGCTAAGTGCTCCATGCCCATCCAGGTCCAGACCAGACTCAAGCTGGATGCAGAGCAAGTGCAAGAGGAGGCTCCCAAGCTCATTCCAGGCCCTGGCAGCCGGCAGCCCTGATGACTAGAGCTCAGCGCTCCTTCCTGCAGCTAATTTCCCCAAGGCCACCCAGGAGGTCAGATTCGGGACTCAGCTCTCCTGACCCAATCCGGGGCTCTTTTTTCTCCCAAGTCCCCAGAAGAGCCTACAGACCCCTCTCCAAAAAGGGAAGAGGAGGGGAATAACGGAGGAGGGAATGCCATCCCAGGGTCAAGGCAAAAACACAGAAAGGCCAATGTTTATTTTAACCAACATTTCAGCAGGGGGCAGTCACCATTATTCATAGAGAAATGGATGGTTCTCCTCATTGTGTCTCCCAGAAGGTTGACCTGCTGCCTCCCTGTCCCATAAAGGCGCAATGGCCCAAGGTCCCTTCTTAGGCTCTGGCTTGACTCCTTGCTTCAAAGAGTAACCAGGGACAGAGGTGAGGACAATGGCCATACCCATTACAAGGCAGGTGTGGGCTGACAGAGGACACGATGGCTAGGGAATCAGGAGACCCCAGTTCTAGGACCAGCTCCAGCGCAGTCTAGCTGTGTGGCCTTGGGCCGGTCACTTCCCCTTCTGGGCCTCAGTATACTCGAATATCTCTGAGATTCTATGAATGTGTGCTTATTCACTGAGATGGACACACCCATTCCTGAACAAATATATAATACTATCTAGACACACAGAAAACTGGGAGACGTAACTGCACACCTGAACACACGCACCTCGGTCTCTGCCGGTCTCTGCCACACTCTTCGACACCTGGATGCACCTATGCCAACACTTACAACACCAGTACGGCCCCAGGCTCCCTCTCTCTGACCTCCAAAGAGGAAGAACAAGACGGAAGGGAGAAGGACAGTCACAACTGGGTGAGATAAGGAGGACAGGGCAGAAGCCAGGGCTCTGACACTGCAGTGTGAAGGATGGACAGACAGAGGGGACCTGAACCGGGCCACCGCCCTTCTTTTTTTTTTTTTTTTTGAGACAGAGTCTCACTCTGTTGCCCGGGCTAGAGTGAGTGCCGTGGCGTCAGCCTAGCTCACAGCAACCTCAAACTCCTGGGCTCAAGCAGATCCTCCTGCCTCAGCCTCCCGAGTAGCTGGGACTACAGGCATGCGCCACCATGCCTGGCTAATTTTTTTTCCATATAGATTTTTAGTTGTCCAGATCATTTCTTTCTATTTTTTTTAGTAGAGACAGGGTCTCGCTCTTGCTCAGGCTGGTCTCGAACTCCTGACCTTGAGCGATCCACCCGCCTCAGCCTCCCAGAGTGCTAGGATTACAGGCATGAGGCACCGCGCCCGGCCCCACCGCCCTTCTCAATCCATCAGATCGGCTCCGCCACACACCTCCAGCTGCACGACTGGCCTCAGCAGCACTAGTGGGTGTGGCGGAGAGAAGGCAGCCACTGCCCTCACCAAGTTTCCATTCTAATTGGGGAAACCGAACCGGCATTCACACTACCGCAGGTGTGTGCTGTGGTGGACAAGAGCCCTTGATCTTGGGGCAGAAGATCAAGGTCTCAGTCTTGCTGCTCCACCTACCAGCTGTGTGAGAAGCCACTTAACCTCTTTGGGCTCAGAGAGGTTTCCACATGTGTAAAACGAAGCCTATGAGGATTAAACAAGATGATGTATGTCAGGGCTCCAGCCTAGAGCCTAACGGACATGGCTCAAGGAATGGGAGCTCATTCTTCAGCGGCACTTCGTAAACTGTAAAGGCTGTGCAAATGCTACTTGTTCTTATCACCCAGTCCCTTCCATCACTAAGGCCCTCCATTCCCTGCCTCAACCACAGGGCGAAGGGAAGGCAAGCCCAGGCTCTCAGCCCCGGCGACTTCCAAATGCCTGTTCCAGCCACTAAGCAATGGGTTTGGGTTTCAGGGGAGAAAAGCCCCACAGGACACGAATCCCTGAGCCCTGCAGCAGCCTCCCTGCCCCCTAAGCATGTCCAGGGCTTGGAAAATCCCCTGCTGCGCTGAACAAACAATGTGAACAGTTGGGGCCCGAGCAGCTGCTGGGCTCGTCAGCAGCCTGGGCTCAGGCAGGCAGGACTGCAGCCAGAGGGGCTGGCGGCTGGCTGGGGAGCCCAGAGGAGGTTCCAATTCCCTTCCTGAATATTCATGGATCAGCAGATGTCTGGCTTCCCCAACTCTGAGGAGCCCAGCAAGGCAGGAACAGGGAAACCTACAGGGAGGGACATAGATGCAAAGAGAACAGGGAGTCCTCTCAGAGAGCAACAGTGCTGTGCTAGGAGCTGAAGACAACTCATTTTAGTGGAAATGTCTGTCAAGTCTGAGAATCCTCATTCTACAGATGGGGAAACTGAGACCCAGGAAGGGGTCTCAGCTCTCTGGGAGACAGAGTCTGGCAAAACTGTCCTTCTTTGGCTTTTGGGGGATGAACCCAGCAGTGAGGAAACAATTGCCCCTGAACAAGAGGATTCTCTCTGCCTCAACGCCCAACGTGACTTCTGTGCAGAGGACATGCATCCTTAGGGACTCTGCTCAGATGCCAGCCTCTCCATGAGGCTGCCCTGCTTTTCCCAGTTGAAGTTTTCCCTAAATCTCACATCAAAAGCCACTCGGAGGTACCTTACTCATCCTTCCTCTTGCCTAGACACACAAGGGGACATGGTGGGACAAGCTTTGGCCTCAGAATCAGGGTCTTCACGGGTCCAGTCATTTGTTGCACAACCTTGGGTCAGCTACATTCTCCCTTTCAGCTTCAGTCTCCTCAGTCTTAAAATGGCGAGTTTCCAAACTTCCCAAACATTTTCACCAAAATTCTCCCAACAGCACAGAACATACGCATGAGGTTTGCCAACTGCCTGAAATGTTTTGATTTTTAAACCTCTAGCACGTTTTGCATTCTGCTCCATAACACAGTAACGCTTGTTTTAATGAGTGTGGTTCCTACACCACCGAATCTCTCCGTAAACATGATGCTCTGGGGAGTGGACCTTGTTTGTCCAGTGGCTTCGTGGCTACCCCTTTCCTGCCACCCCCAGCCCACGGCTATGGCTGACCCCCAGGGCCCCTCCCATGAGCATTTTTAGCCATCTCTCTCAGGACTGGGGTGGACGCATCGTAGATGCCCAGTGGACACTTGCTGCCCACCAGCTTTCTGCCTGGAGGGGGCCGCCCTGTCCCATAAGCCCTCCCCCTCAATCTCCTCAGTGAGACCTTGCCAGAGACACCAAACCTCTGCATTTGGGAACCCTGGGGCCATTGCTCAATCTCCTTTTTCTGACAGATTATTTTACCCACTTACAGGATAAATTAGATTTTATGAGGCCAACTAGAACCCAGACAGAAAGGAGATTCACTGCTGAGCCCCAGGGCCAGCTCAATGCTGCTTCACGGGATTAGCGGGGCCTGGCAGGAGGAGCCAGTTCCATTCTTCAGTGAACTCTCAGGAAAGAGGCGTGTAGCTGGGGGGAGGGGAATGAGGCCACGATGTC